CTGGGACAAAAATGCAGCTTTTTGGTTCAACTGGCACAAATGACGTTTCTTTGCTCGCCTCTGTCGGGATTTGACAATGGGATCCTCCAGTTTTGGGAGGCCACTGTGTCTTGGTTTGACATGGAAGGTGGAAACCTCCCTGGGAARGGAAAATATTATTTCACTCCCTCCAAATTATTATAACTTTGAAATTTTGGGGGTTTTGGGCAAAGATTCGGGAACAGGAATAACAGTTCTTTGTTAGTTTATTTTTTTACACCGAGACAAACAAATGACAACAGCAGCGGCAAAAATGAACAAACCAAAAACCCAGTGACCCCCAGTGACCCCCAGTGACCCCCAGTGACCCCTTCTGTGGGTCTGGGTCTGTCCCATGGCCTCCCCTCGGTGCAGTTACGGTCACAGCCGGCAGGGGGCGCTGTGGCACGGGGCTCAGAGTGTCTCCCTCACCCCAGTAATGGCGCCTCCCTCACACCAGTAATGGCATCTCCGTCATGTCGGTAATGTCTCCCTCACCATGGTAATGGCGCCTCCCTCACGCAGGTAATGGCTTCTCCCTAGGCCGGTAATGTCTCCCTCACGCCGGCAATGGTGTCTCCCTCACCCTGGCAATGGCGTCTCCCTCACACCAGTAATGGCATCTCCCTCACGTCAACAATGGCATCTCCCTCATGTCAATAATGGCTTCTCCCTCATGCCGGTAATAGTGTCTCCCTTACGCCGGCAATGGCATCTCCCTCACACCAATAATGTCTCCCTTACCCTGGTAATGGCGTTTCCCTCATGCCGGCAATGGCGCCTCTGTCACACCGGCAATGATGTCTCCCTCACACCGGTTATGGTGTCTCCCTCACATCAACAATGGCGTCTCCCTCACGCCAGCAATGGCGTCTCCCTCACGCCGGCAATGGCGTCTCCCTCACGCTGGTAACAGTGTCTCCCTCACACCGGTAATGTCTCCTTCGCATCGGCAATGGTATCTCCCTCCCGCCGGTAAGAGTATCTTTCTGACCCTGGTAATGGCATCTCCCTTATGCTGGAAATGGCATCTCCCTCACCCCGGTAAAAGTATCTCCCTCACGCCAGTAATGTCTCCCTCACGCCAGCAATGGCATATCTCTCACACTGGCAATGGCCTCACCCTGGTAATGGCATCTCCTTCACGCCAGTAATGGCTTCTCCCTCATGCCAGTAATGGCTTCTCCCTCATGCCGGCAATGGCGTCTCCCTCACGCCAGGAATGGCGTCTCCCTTACACTGGTAATGGCCACATCTCCCTCACGCTGGCAATGGCCTCTCCCTCACGCTGGTAATGTCTCCCTCATGCCCAGTAATGTCGTCTCCCTCACACCAGCAATGGCTTCTCCCTCACCCCAGTAATGTCTCCCTCACGCAGGCAATGGCATCTCCCTCAGGGCAGCAATCGTGTCTCCCTCACGCCGGCAATGGCATCTCCCTCACACCGATAATGGCGTCTCCCTCACCCTGGTAATGGCCTCAGCCTGGCAATGGCGTCTCCTTCACGCCATTAATGTCTCCCTCACGCCGGCAATGGGGTCTCCCTCATGGCACCCATTGTGTCTCTCTCACCCTGGTAACGTCTCCCTCACCCCGGTAATGCTGACTCAATCCAGGGGAGGGAGATGGAAAAGGCGCTTTATCCCCAAACCCACGGGGAGCAGCCAGTCCCTGTTCCGCTCCAAATGGCAAAATGGAGTGCAGCAAGAAATCTCAGAGCGTCGGCCTGGATGGCAGAAGTGCGCACAGCCCAGGGTGGCAAATCAAATGCAGCAAAAACTCCAAATTTGCAGCAGGAGCCGCTGGGCTCCGAGCTGAGATGGGCTTTGGGCAGCCGGGCTTCTCCAGAGCATGGGGAGACACCCGCTCTGGGAATGGGGAGGGGGCCGCGGTCCCGTTTTTCCCCTGAGGCACCCGAGTGAAGGGTGAGGGTCCTTTCCAGTCAGATCAGGCACTGAAAAGGTCCCAGTTCAGCGGCCGCTTTTAGGAGCAAAGGCTCACCATGAGAAGGAGCAGAGGTGGGAGGACAGAATTCACAGGGGGTGCGTTCATCTCCCATCCAAGGGCCAGAGACTGCACCCGGCTCCTTCCCCCAGCCCAAAATCTGGCGGTGTCTCTACCTTTCCAGAGAGAAAATCCCTCAGGTGAGAGAGCAGCACTCCTCCTCCTCCGTGCCTGCACTTTTTGCCTCTCTCCAGTATTGGCTGTTAGAAACAAACAGAAAAAAATTCTCTGAGAGAAAGAAAAAGAGGAAAAATCCAAAGCTGCGGCAATCCCCGAGACCCCAGGGTGGCTGGGGTTTCCCATGTGAGCTCATTCTGTGATGAGAGATCGATCCCTTTGCTCCACGTGGCGTCAGGGCCAGGATGTGGGGCAGGGGCTTTGCCTTCGCCCACCCGGCCCAGCCCTGGCAGTGGGGCCACCCAAATGAGCTGAGCTTGGCTGCCGATCCCTTCTGGGCTGGCTCCAAACCCTTCCTGAGCTGCTGAGATTCCTTTTCCAGCTGAAGAGGACAGGGCTCAGGTAGTGCCTGTAATTTTGGGGACTTTTGGGGCTCTGTCAGCCCCTCGGGCAGAGGGACACAATGATCGGTTGCTGCGTTTCCGGCCTGAAATGCCCCTGCAGGGGTGGTTTCCAGCCAGCCCCGCTCTGAAAACCATCAAAGGCTCTCGCAGAGCCCCTGCTTGGGCTCCCATTGGTGTTTGAGCTTCTGGCAGGGCTGAGCAAACCACAGCCAGGCCTTTTTCCTCYGCAYRCAATTCTCACCTTTGAGCAGCTCTGAAGCTGCGAGAATCAAAGCCGAGGGGGCGGGGGGCACCCTCAGGTCCTGGCTGTCCCCTGGGGCTGGACAGAGCAGGGCTGGCCAATGTCCATCCTTTTCCCCTCCCTGGGCTTCTCCCAAGCCGTTCCC